CTAGTCTTCAAAATAGGAAATCATTCTATGTCTTCCCCTTGGCTACCATATATGTTGGTAATTGTAAATATATATATATATATATGTCAGAGACCTGCAGACTCGACGGTAATATTTTAAATATACTCTGGCCGAGCCCCAAAATTTTAAAAAACGACCCGGGCCGGGCTTAATATCATTTTTTTTTTAAATCCAGGGCTGGGTCGGGCCCTATATTTTGAAACCGAATATCTTAAATCACCATTATTAGCCGTAAAAATTAAAAATAAATGTACGGGCCGGTTCGCAAAATCGCTCGCCGAAATTTTTTTTTAAAAAAAAATCGGGATCGGGCCGGAGATAAAATAAAGGATTCATATCATACATTTTAAAAAAATAATCGATATAAAAATTCGGTGAAATATTAATCTAAATTAGGCGTTTGACATGAAAAACAAGAATATGAAAAACTCTAATTAATATGATATGTAATTCTTTCGGGTATCAAATATGTTCAAAACTTCTTTTTTTTTAACCTGCTGTATATAACAAAAAAATTTAATTGAAAAAAATTTCTTATTTTTATTACTATTATTAATCGTCGGAATAATTGATTTCACCTATTCGATTTTCTCGTTATTCGAATTCGTAAATATAATCGAATCTAGAGATTACGAATAATAAATAAAAATTTTTTTTGAAGGCCTACACTTTCCAAAATGTCGGAGTATGGAGTGGATTTTAATAAAACCAAAAAGAAAAAAGTTATTCTTAATTGCTTGGATAATGGTATATTTTTTAGACACCATCCATTCGAGTGACTACGGATTATTTTAATTGGAATCCATAATCATCTGTTACATTACAGTGCTCACAAATTATGCTCATCAAATACTGCGTTGTAAACGTAAATAATAGTTTTCAAATGGTATCGCGCAAATTGGTCAAATTCACCTGGCGTTAGAAACCATTTTTTAAAAAAAAACTGCGTAGCTTTTTTACTTTTTATTCATTCATTTTGCGCTTGTTAATCTATGAACAATGTTTTAAGAGCTATTTTTTTTTTCGCAAAAAAGCCGACAAGCCCTTATTACCCAGACAAGAATAATAGAATTGAGGTGGGGTGGGGGTAAAAATATATCACAACTTATTTAACTATAAACTTGTTTTTTTTTAAAATGGAATATTTGGAAGTTAATGAAATAAAAAGGCAACCACAATTTAAACAAGGAATGCTATACGATAAAACTTAAATGCTCAATCGATGCTCCCTATTGGAATTATAACTTTCGTCATTAAAAAGTATCCTGCGTCTATCCCATTTTTTTTAAAGCTTCATAATTAGCTATTCTCAACCTAAACAACTGATAATAGGAATGAGATAATCTTCCCCCAAAAAAATCCAAAAATATTATATTCGTAATTTAAAATAGGTAACTCTTTAAGAAGTTACTGAAAATAGAAAATAGTGAAAAGATTACCCAAAATTTATTAAATAATAATTGAAAGAAGAAAATAAGGTCCAAAAATAATAGGATTAAAAAAAAAAGGTAAAGTTCTTGCCAATCTAGAAATTCGAAGGATTAATTGCTTTTAACAAAAATTGCAATGTTTTTTTTTTCCACTTTTTATGCAAGGCTATTTTCAAACATACCGTTTTTTCCAACTGGCTGGTTAGGAGGTACATAACATAATTTGTTGAAATAATTTTTTGTTTTGCATAATATAATATTTTAAAAATAAGGTAATGGATCATGGAAAGAAAGAAATTTCAAGATTGAGCTATCCTTAGTTTAAAAGCTCAGCCGTCTTCGCTTAAAAAACTTGTTTAATCTTTTAGATTTGCCTCAAAAACTATTGAAATGGAGTTATTTATTATCAATAGTTGTTGATGGTTATATACTTTAAATAAAAACAGTGTCGCGATTTCATTATATTTATAACAGTTTGGTTCGCTCTTTTTATATTTTGTTTATAACGGTTCGGTTACAGTTCAGAAAATTATAGCGGTTCGTTCCAGTTTCCCGTAGGTTTGATTCGACTCGAAACCCTGACCCCGAGAACTCCCCTTTTGAAATTTTCTTATAACGGTATATTTCGCAGTTCGATTTACCTCGACACCCTTGATTGTGATTTTTTTTTTATTTTAAATATATACTTTATTTGTACGATTATATCTTCATATCTTAGATGATAAATTTTAAATATAAAACATTTATATTTTTTTAGTATTGTCAGAAACAACGTGGCAGAAAAGTTGTCTTTCGAAATCAAAAATTTTGATACAATTAAAAATGGAGCCATCTTAGATAAGTAGTACTTCAAGAACGATATGAATAGAAACCTAGAGACTGAAAATGTCAATATTTTGATTGATGAGGGATTCGCACTAAAAATTCCGAACAAAAATGAAATCAAACATCTTAGATGAGCCGCACTTCAAGAACGATATGAATAGAAACCTAGAGATTGAAAATGTCAATATTTTGATTGATGAGGGATTCGCACTAAAAATTCCGAACAAAAAAAATGAAATCAAAATTATGTTCTACCAAGGATACCCCTGTCTTTTCACTAACTCTCACAAATAAAGAACAACCAACCACTAAAAAACCTTTAACTATAGATGATTTAATCTTGCAAAACGCTAAAAATGAAGATTTAGTGCAACAAATTTTATTGCAAAATGGACATAAGAATGTTACGCCACCATCCATTCCCAAAATTCTTGCAACTGAGAAAAATAGCTTCCTTTCCATTCCTCCTTCTGATTATTATTTTTATGGGTCTAAATGACTTTTCTTTTGGTTTTTAAATGGTTATGATTTTTTTGGGTTGTAAACTAACCCTTCAATACTCCAGTGAAAAAAATGATGTTAGTACTCAGGTGGGGTTTAATAGACGCTAATTTCAAAGTTATATTCATTATTTTTATTTAATATTTGGTTATAAGATAGAACTAAGCTAAAAATTGATAAAATATTTAGTTATTTTTATTTCTTAAGCTTAGACTAAAGATGATGAGGATAATTATAATTTGTGCCAAAATTTTCTAAAAAAAAGCTTACATTTTTTAATTTCAAATATTAAATTAAAAAAATAACTTATCTATCATATAATCATGATAATTCATAATATGGATCTTTATTCTTCAGTATAAAAAAAAATTGCACTAATACATTCAAACATAAAAAAAATATAGAACATTGAAATATGTTAAATTTGACATGCAAAACATTTATTACATAAAATATTAATGTGTTCTAAACATAAATTTATTTTACATATTTGAAAAAAAATATTTTGTTTTTTTTATTTTGATGGTTAGATTTAAAAATTCCATCTAAATAAAGATTTCCCAATAATGTCTTGAATTGTGTTACATCAACTTCTTTAGTAGAACTTTCATATTGGTCAGTATAGTTTTTACATATAATTTTAAATTTTGATAATAATATCTACAATCATTTTTGATATTATGAACAAGTCAAAACATTTTTCTGGAATGTCAGCTTCTTTCCCTTATTCTTTTACTTCTGGCAGATGAATAATTAAATTTTGTTGATGAGTTCTTATTCTTTGATTAGGAAGATCCTTTTTCCATTTAGTAAACTCATTTTTCTAGTTTTAAAGAGAAATATACTATGATAAATGATTTCATAATTACCTTAATAATATTAAGTTTATTTTCTTCAACTAACATTTTCTTCATCTAATTCAGATTGTGTATCATGATCAATATCATATATAAAATCTTTATCCTCACTATTAATTATATTGTAATAATCACCTCAAATAAAATGATATTACATCTTAAATAATTATATATTTAGTTTCAGAATCTGCAAAAATCATTATAAATTATAAAAATAATTTGAGAAATGAGTCAGCTGGTGAAAAATAATAATAAATTAACTTCACCAGAGAAAATCTTTACGTTTTCTTTTTCATATATCTCATTCAAAATATAAGATATTTAAATTTTGTTTTAATAAATTTTAAGATCTCTCCTAATGATTAGATGAAGGAGGTTTTGAATAATTTCTTCTGCTGCTTTCGCTTATGCCTCAATATTGTCCTTTTGTTATAATGATTTTTTTTTCGTAATTGTTTACTAATTATATTAATTATTTATTTTTCAATGATGATTTATAAATATATTTATTTATATTATAGTCATGTTTAATATAATAGTATATATTTATAATTATAAAAATTAAAAAAAATTTTTTTTTAAAAATTACAAATTTACTCTGATAGGGTCTCACAAACCCCAATCAGCCACAAAATACTGATATCTTAAAAACTACTCAACCAAATTATATGAAATTTGGAATATAGATTCTAAGATATATTTGATGAAACTACTGAAGAATCCAAATCATAATATTTAAACGTTTTTATGCAATATCATTTCTAGCATGCCTGGGGTTTCATATACCCCACCAGAGTATTGAAGGGTTAATCAAAATGGTCAGTATTTTTATATGTCTAGGCTATAGCAAAAATAATTTGGTTTTGAGCTAATAATTTATTGATATCATCTATAATCTCAACTTGATATAATTTTGGTATACTAGGGAAAAATTAAAACCCCCAAATAAATAGAAAAACTAGGAAATTACTTATTAACTGTCTAAAAATTTAAAATACCTGCCAAATGTTTTTCTAATGCCCATTTAATAAAAACACTGCCTATTAAGTAAAAAATACTAAAAAATAATACTTTTTGCTCTTTACTATGAAATAATATGAAGGATTTCCACTATATAATTTTAATTCTTAAGACAATAATATGGAGAAGAGATTCAAATTTAACCCTTTTGAAAAGGTATAATATATTTATGTATTGAGGGGTGGGGCTTAGCCACTCCTCAAATTTTGAAAAGGGATCTAAATATTAAAAATAAGGTTCCCATATCATCCTTCGCAATATTCCCCTGTTTATTAGGCAGTATAAGATTTAACGTCAAAAAAGTTATTTTATTCACTACCACTGGTCATAGTTTAGCATTGATTACCTGATTTTTAACCTTTGCGTTATATAACCTAATATGGCCGAACAACATAGAAAACGTTATGAGTCGAAATCAAAAGGGTATTATATATATTTATTATACAATATAAAATTCTTTTTAAACATTTAGACCATCATATCCTATACCTCCTTTTTCAAATTCTATTCCTATTCTAAAAAAGAAAGCTAAAATAGTTGAAAGATCTTTACCAAATAAAGTTATACGAATATGTTTATAATATATTTATTTTATTTAAGATAAGAGAATTGGTGCCAGAATCTCAAGCTTATCTTGATTTATTATCTTTTGAAAAGAAATTAGACACCACTATTATGAGAAAAAGGTTAGATATACAAGAAGCATTAAAAAGACCAATGAAAGTTTATTTAAAATTCATTTATATTATTTTTTTATTATTATTAGACTAAAAGAAAACTTAGAATTTTTATATCTCACACATGTTTTCCAGGTTCGGCATTTCAAGATAGTAATTCTAATACAGGTTAAAACTGTTACTTGCTAAACATTATTTTATTCTTAAATATTTTATAATCACATAGATATATTTAACCTATTAATATTATAAAGAAAATAGGGTTCCACCATGTTGGGAATTGCGAGTCGAAGGCAAACTTTTATCTTCTAATCAACTGACTGATAACAATGACTCTCTCAATACACCAATGGGTGCACCTTCAAATCCAAATTTGAATCTTATTACTAATCCTATTAACAAAAAATTCTCTTCCTTTTTTAAGAGTCTTGTTATAGAATTGGATAAAAATTTATATGGTCCAGATAATCATTTGGTAGAATGGCATAGAACAGCTCACACTCAAGAAACAGATGGGTTTCAAGTTAAAAGACTTGGTGGAATATCTGTTACAAAGGCCCCACCTATCACTATGCCTGGAAATGGGGAAGTTCCAGCAAGAAGTGAAAATATCATAGTAGTTGAACCCATCAAATGCACCTTGCTCTTGATGTTGGATTATCAAGTTTTTTTTATAATTTATTCTTCATAATTTAAAAAAAAATTCAATACCTTTTTTCAAGTGACCAGTCATACATAAATATAATATTTCAACTATATGATTCCTGGGTTATTTAAATATAGCTTTATAAAATATTCTGAAGTAAGAAGATTTTCTATTGGATATACAAAATATCCATTTCAGTTTTGGTAAGAGATCTGAGTTAAGAGGTTCTTTATTCAAAATCTGCTTATCCATCGTTTTGATTTTTTTATACTAATCAGCCCATCCCTGGTTTCATAAATAACCCGCCCACTTTTTTGAAGATTTAGAAGGGTACAGGTTGGGTAGTGATCAGGAAATATAAACAAATTATGGTGCCTTATTTTCAAAAAAATATAAAATTAAAAAAACTTATTACAAATGAATGGTAGATGATTTTAAATATTTATTTTAAGATTGCATGATTTTTTTTGAACAATTTGTCTTTGCTAAATCTTATAAAATTAAAATCGGGCATCTGTCATCACTCATTAAGATTCATAGAAAAATCCCATAGCCTAAAGAAAAGGATATTGAATCATTCTGTTTCTTTGAGCATACTCTGCAGCCACCTTTACTGGCTATTCTTAAAATTTTGCAATATGAGGAGTCAGATTTATAATTTCAGTCTAAAATCCCCATTTATAATTTTATGAAGAATAATTTTGGGCACTAACTCAGACCTTGACTTTTAAATCATTCTATATTCTTTTTGAATCTGGCTTATAATAATGTTTTTTGAAATATTAAGTCCACCGGCTTTATGATAGGTTCATTAAAATGGACAATCGTATGAGATTATTTATTGGATTTTTCTGGCGGGGCATATAAGCTATTACAATATGAGATGCTTCATAACAGATGACTTCTCCACACATCTAGTGATTACTACTTGTAATTTGTCGAACATGACACATCTCTTAAAATATTCTATTACCTTTGTTATATATTACAAAAAAATTATCCATTAGTCATTGACTCATTGTTATGGGATCCAAGAACTAACATCTAGCAAGCATTATTAATAGAAAATCATATCTTTAGAATTTAAGTCTCGATGATGCTTTTGTAATAGTCAATAGTGACAACCAAATATTTATTTCTTTCAATTGATTAGGGCAGTGTTGGCATTTATATTCATTCCTATTTGGCCGTAAGCCTCTTTTTTAAAAAATAGGGACACTATTTAATTTAGGATTATTTTTTACATTCTTAGCATCCAGTTTTTGACATCTCTTAGGTGTTTTATTGCATTTTCTTTGTCATCGTCATAGTGAGTTGTAACAAGGTTGATAGAATATTTAGAGAGATGACCAACCTCCAGCATATCATATGTGCCTATCACCCACAAGACAATGGGCTTCTGTGGAGGGCCAATATAGCCATTAAATCTCTTTTGGGAAAAGTTTTGAAAAAAATGAAAATGAGGCCAAATGTTGTATATCTGGTTACTGGGTTGTCTTGCCAGGAAAGAACTGGATTTTTTTTTACATGTTAAATTTTTTGAAAGAATTGTTACCATTGAATGCTATATTATAATAATTACATTTTTTTTATAAACCAAATTAAAATTTGTTATTTAATATCATGGGGTCTGAATGATGTTCTTAAGAAGAATTTTTTTAGAAGTTATCAGGGATTAATGGGGGCCACTTGTGATGGCTTTAATAATCTAGAACTGACCAGCAGTAGTGATATGTAAAAAGAAATATATAAACGACTGTCAGCCATTTTTTTGGTTATAAGATTCTTCTAAGGAACTTAGGACATGATTACCGAAAAGGTGTAATTAGAAATTTCTTGCAATGAGACATTTATAAACGTTTGTTTATACGTTCCTTATTAACTCATCTAAATGGTATTTGAATTTTTTTAATGTAGTTATCTTTGTAAATTGAAATATATAAATAATTCTTTACGATTCCTTATGTTACATCACTTCCATTGTTTATTTATTAACCTACAGTGTTGTGCAGGATTTGATGGAAAAAACATCCATTATTTTTTTAATTTATTTTCAAATAAAATTATTTAATTTGTAAAAAAAAATTGATAAAGAAAATAATAATTTAGCAAGCTAAATTATTTTATTTGCAAATAAATTTTTATAAAGAATAAGGAAATGTTTTCTATCAAATCTATACAACACTGAAACATCTTACTTACTATTTTTATAGAAAAATTGTTAGTTAGTAACTCTGGAAAAGAATCCAGAAAAATCTCATAAAGTATTTCTAAGCTCGTGTTATGGGATATTTCTCCCAGGAATACAATATTAGATTGCCTATTTATTAACCAAATACCCCGTTTTATACAATTATTGCTCTTACTTAAAAAAAATTATTAAGTAAGGTTGTAACTTTTATTTATTTGATAAACGACACCCACCTAAAAAAAGCCTCCGCAATTTAAACTCGATCCCAGATTGGGCAGACTATTAGCTATACACACTCAGACGAGACCCGTCATTATAACATCCCTGTGGCAATACATCAAAACCCACAAGCTGCAAGATAGCCACGAAAGAGAATACATTAATTGCGATTCCTATCTTAGCCAAGTTTATATTAAAAAAATTTCAACTACTTAAATTATCATATCAAATCGATATTACCTGATTTATATATAGTACTTTAAAAAATAAAGGCTTTAAAAGACGAATCGAATTTGTATTAATGTAAACCGGAATTGGCCTATAATTTTGAGTTTACTTTATAATTTAATCCAACCTCAAATTTCTTTATCCTAGCTTTTAATATCTTTTCACAATGCACTTAGCCCGGGTCATCCCCGTAGCTATGGACAGGTGCCATATCTCCCGCTTTTGGCTTTTTCATGTTTTTTTTTAAACTCTAGTTTACACCACAACACGGCGTCTATTGATTTACGCTTTCTCCCGATTTTCTTAATAAAAATTCTCCCTATTTTTTTTCATAAATTTTTGTTTGAATAGAAAATAATCAAAAATAGTTTATATAGTTTTTAAAGACCAATCTATATTACCATGATGTTTTTAGAACTTAACCAATTTATTATTTAAAATTTTAACAGTTTTTTTATAAATAGCCTAATAATGATTTTTGATTTATTAAATAAAGTTTTTTCGTATTTCCATTCTTTTTCTAATTTTATTCCATTAATTTAAATTATATACAAATTACAATTTAAAGACAAGTTTGATGTTAAAAATTTTTTTAACCCTCTTATTGCGCGACATATCAATAAATGATATAATTTTTTTTTTAAAAAAACTTATTTTTGCCTTTAAAGAGCCTTTAATAAAACTAATAATTAATTTTTTTTAAAAAATTTCAATGTGTATTTAAATATACAATTCACATAAAAAGTAATTCTTTCTTTCTGACATATAATTATATTAATTTTCATAAAATAATTTAAAACAATCTTTTTTTTTGTAGTAAAACATAATGATACACCATATTTGGTACAAATCACTTAACCAATTTACACCCAGGGTTTTTGCATCGCGCCTTTTTTACTATATTTTAGCCAATGTGTGCTATTAAATCCTATCTTATTGCATTCTGCGGAATAAGACTTATCGGCCCCTTGCGAGATTTTTCTTTATATTTGGTGTCAATTGATATTCGTTTTTTTACGCTAGTCGTTCATATTTTTGTTACATTTACGGCGTATCTCTGCTATTGAAATTTTTAAATTTTAATAATGGCATCTGTCCTTTTACCGGTAATTTTAAAGCTACAAAATCTCGTATATTCATTAATCTAGAATTTATGAGCATCATATCAAGTACACGGAATTTTAATTTTCCGTCGTTCCTTTCTATCAACCCATTCACAATCTCCAACAGGGTAAACTTACCTATAAACGTACTTAGAATAATTACAGACCTATTATCATATAAATTCCTTTGGGCTAGTAATACTTGGAGTTCTATGTCATAGAACCAAATCAAAACGCAACTTAAAATTGGAATTTAGTGGAATATTTACCAATAGTTGAAATAGCGCATTTCCGCTTGCCCCAATATCAGGATATCCATTTTATTGTTCAATTTTACCCGTATATATTTTGGAATTGTAAACCAGCCCTTCATCACTGCATAAAATCATTAATTTTTTTATTTATTGCTTTTAAATTAAAGGAATTAAAAACAATAAATAAAAAAGAATGATTTTATTTGCCTTTTTTCTACTTTTTATAACCATCGCGAAAAATAACTAAAAAATAATCTACAAAAAAAAATAATCTACATAAAAACAATAATAATAACATTTTTTTTACAAAACAATACTAACAAAAATCGATAATCATTATTTATTTAAAAACTATTTTCTAACTCTAGTTAAAACAATATAATTTCATTACAATAATATAACATGCCACCATTAACAAAATATTTCTTCATCACCCTGGCGCTACAAGATCTGGCCCCAATACTAATTCCATCTCCGAATCAGTCATAGCACATTGTAACCAGTCAAGAAACTCCGGCGTCAAATACGGCTCTAGCACCCCCAACTTTTCGTGTTTACAGATTCTCCGTCGTCATTTCCCCCATTGGTCATTTCCCTGTACTATTTAGCCGGCTTCTCATTATCTTTCCCATCTGGCGCTTCTGACTTTTCTCTATTCCAATTTCCTTCGCACTGCTCCTTCCTCGGCCAGGCTATCCTTCCCCAAGTTACCTCAGAATCCTTCGTTTCGACGTCAGCCAGCCTCTCCTCCTGGGTCACACACAGTGGTCTCTCCCGGAATGGGCATTGACTTATTATATGGTCCCGTCTCTTGCAATGAAAACAACGTTGGTGCTCTACCCGGGTTGGTGTCATCTGATCAAAATTCCTCATTCATGCCCAACAGTCCCTCAATTGGCTTGGTCGTCTCGAAACTTGCATTCGAAATCTCTGAAAACTCAGCACTGATTCATTCTTATTCATAATTATAGGTTTTCTGATATATACTGTATATATATCTCGGCCCTTCTATACCCCATTCCCCTATAATGATGTTCAAAAACTATTTCTCTTATACTTTATAAAAAACAAACCCTTCCACTTTATCTAACCAAAAAAAAATATCCCAACTCCCTTATCTTGTTTCTTAACTTTTGAATATATATTTGTTGATATCTAAATTTCCTTATAAAGGATGATATATTAGTTGCATATATATGATCATCGTGATATTTGGGAAATGTAGGGCTATCATTATAAGATTTTGCATCTTCATTGTCATTTACAATTAATAATTTGGTAGAATCAATATTTATGTGTAAAAGCTTTTTACTTAGTGTATCATGGTCATGTATCAATTGAAATCAGCTGGAGACGCCATTAACAACATGTTGAATACCACGATGATAATTTGTCTTACTACCAATTCTTAATATAAATAGATTGCTCTGAGTCGCTGCACATCATGCACAATACAAGCTATACAAACTTAACTTAAACAAATTTATTTTCATAGATTCCCTATCAAGAATAAAATTTTTCAAAATAGATTAAAGCAATAAATAAGAAAAATTTTATTCCAACCAAATTCACCAAGCTTTGTGGAGCTCATTTTACAGAAGAATGCTTTTTTCCCTCAGTTACAGGATATGCTAATCTAAAGGAAGGATTTGTACCATCCATTTTTAATTCCAGACCCTTTCAGGATATAACAAATATTCCATTAAATAGAAATAAAATTCTTATAAGTTCTAACTGTTTAATAAAAAATGATAAAACTTATGCTGCTAATATTTACTCCTCAACTAAAAAGAGAAATTTTATCGATTCATCTAAGCACTCACCTTCAGGAGTATTTTGATAGCTGGCAGATGTATGGGCTATTATCTCTAACAGGCTCTTCTAAGCCTTCCACTTCTAGAATATTATTAAGGATATTTAATTTTCTTTTTTTAGTTGAGGAGTAAATATTAACAGCATAAGTTTTATCAATTTTTACTATGCAGTTAGAACTTATAAGAATTTTATTTCTATTTAATGGAATATTTGTTATATCCTGAAAGGGTCTGGAATTAAAAATGGATGGTACAGATCCTTCCTTTAGAATAGCATATCCTGTAACTGAGGGGAAAAAGCATTCTTCTGTAAAATGCGCTCCACAAAGCTTGGTGAATTTGGATGGAATGAAATTTTTCTTCAATCCATTTTGATAACAAAATTTTATTCTTGATAGGAAATCTATGAAAATAAATTTTTTTTATTAGAAGTTAAGCTTGTATAGTTGCATGATGTGCAGCGACTCATAGCAATCTATTTATATTAAGAATTGGTAGTAAGACAAATGTGGTATTCAACATGTTGTTAATGGCGTCTCCAGCTACATGACCATGATATTCTAAATAAAAAGCTTTTTCACATAAATAATGATTCTACCAAATTATTAATTTTCTTATATTTTTTTTTTTTTTTTGTAAGAAAATATTATATTTTAAAATTACAATAATAAAATATATCTAATATAATAAGTCATATATTAAAAATGAGTGTAAATTTTAATATATCGATGGCTCTAAAAGAGCTTATAGTAAAAAAGTACCTAAAAAACATGTATAATTATGTTTAAAAATTTCTAATTGTATTTTTTGTTTTAGGAAGGTTGACTCGCGTTTAAACATAATTATTAATTGTAAATAACAATAAAGATGCAAAATCTTATAATGATAGCCCTACATTTTCCAAATATCACGATGATCATATATATCCAACTAATATATTATCCTTATAAGGAAATTTAGATATCAACAGATATATATTCAAAAGTTACGAAACAAGATGAGGGAGTTATAATATATTTTTTTGGTTGGGTAAAGTGAAGAGGGGTTCTTTTTTTATAAAGTACAAAAATAGTTTTTGAAATCATCATAGGGGAATGGGGTATAGAAGGGCCGGGGCATATATACAGTATATATCAGTAAACCTATAATTATGAATAAGAATGAATCAGTGCTGGGTTTTTAGAGATTTTGAAGTGCAAGTTTCGATACGACCAAGCCGATTGAATGACTGTTGGGCACGAATGGGGAATTTTTATCAGATAACACAGACCTGAGTAGAGCACCAGCGTTGTTTTCATTGCAGGAGACTGGGACATATAGTAAGTCAATGCCCATTCCGGGAGAGACCGGCTAACGTCGGAACGGAGACGTAGGATTCTGGGGTAACTTGGGGAAAGATAGCCTGGCCGAGGGAGGAGCAGTGCGAAGGAAATTGAGATAGAGAAACGTCAGATGGGGAAGATAATGAGGAGCCGGCTGAAGAGAACACGGAAATGACTAATGGGGGAAATGACGACGGAGAATCTGTAAACACGAGGGAGTTGGAGGCGCTAGAGGGGTATTTGACGCCGGAGTTTCTTGACAGGTTACAATGTGCCGTGACTGTTTCGGAGATGGAATTAGTATTGGAGCCAGATCTTGAAGGGCCAGGGTGAGGAAGAAATATTTTGTTAATGGTATATTAATGTAATGAAATTTATTGTTTTAACTAGAGTTAGAAAATAGTTTTTAAATAAATAATGATTATCGATATTTTGTTAGTATTGTTTTGTAAAAAAAAATGTTATTTTGTAGATTATTTTTTTGTTATTTTTCGCGATGGTTATAAAAAGTAGAAAAAAAAGCAGAATAAAATTATTCATTTTTTTATTTATTGTTTTTAAGTTTATTTTCAATAGTGTGTTAAAAAGAAGAATAAGATAAAGAAAAAAAATCAAGTTAAGGCTTAAAAGTGCAGATAGTTTAAGTTTGAAGGTCATCAACCAGATGACATCCCAATAATCGATTAGATCTTAGGGTCCCCGACTATGATAAAGCCATTATCTTTGAGAGCAACTGTTAAATTATACGAAGAAAAAAAGTTGTCCATATAATTTTTATGTAGGGAAACAGTTTCTAAGAGTCGGAAAAAACGATATCCGCTAATTCCCATCAAAGTTTTTTATATATTTGCGGATTTTCCTAAATATATCTCGAGATCATTTAGCATTTCAGATGATCCACATAAAGCGAAAATTTTAATTCCCCATTTATGCGGGTATGAGCGAACATATTGTTTAAATTCACATCGCTCTTAAAAGGGGATAATCATTTCATTAATGGATAATTTTTCCTAAGGTGAATTGTCTAAGTCAATTGAAAGATAAGAATTATATTATTATTATTAGCATTAATGTGAAAGTATTTTCTCAATTCCGAGAATCGATTTCTTGCCATGCATTGAGAAACATGAGGAAATCACTGTCTCTAGAACCCAATATTGCCTTATTGATTGATAGCAATTTAACATTGCCCCAGTATAGGCGAATTCTAAGAAATTTTTCAATTTCACTAGTATTTGTATTTGTTGATTTTCCAAATAATTGAAAAGAATAAATATTCCGTTTGCATCGTCTATAAATTTTTTTTAAAAATATTTGAAAGGCGAAATTTCTTTGTCGGGTGGAGGGAAAAAATTATTGTTTAATTTCTGTATTATATTTATATCAATCCTTATTTCGCCAAAGGATTATCCTATTATTTTGGATACTATCATTATCATAATCTTCCAGTTCTAATCTAATATCTGGTAAAATATCATAGGTCAGAGATCAACTACTGTGGCATTTTCAAAGTTCTCATCCTTCTCAATATCTACATCAGATATATCCTCCCTCTGGCAAATAAGAGGTCGTCTAAAAAATTATTTACAAAAAAATATGCGTAAAATTTTTTAAAAAAATTTCTTCTTTACTTTTTGCAAGTATTATAGTGGCTTGCTAAATTTAAAATAACATATTTTCAATTCTTACCAGATCATATTTTTAATATATAATTTTAAAAGAAATTTATGGGAAAAATTGGATTAGAAAATCCCAATATTACTAATTTGTAATTCCTTCAAAGAATCATATATAAATAATAGTTATCCACTTTTAACCGATACTTCTAGCCATGATATATAATTCTCAAAATATAATTTAAAAAAAATAAACTCAGATATTCGAATGTCAAAGACTCAAATTCGCGGAGATACCTCAAAAGTTGAACTCTTTGCTCTTTCCCCCGGACCCTATCATAATTCATCACACTATCAAGTGGGACATGAGTTCCGTTCCTGCTGGCACTAATGTCAATCCAGCGGCCATTGCCACGGGTGGCGAAAAAAGAAATACCTCGTGTTACGATGTCGAAGTGGAAATTGTGAGTTTAAAAATAAAATTATTTTTTGAATTATAGGAAATGATGGACCTTTTTTTTAGAATTCAATTCAAAATGGGTAATAAATATTATTCAGAAAAAAATCAAAGCAACTATTTTTTCCCCTCACATATTATGTCACAAAATTATGTCTTCATTTTATTTATTATTATTTACTCAGGATGATAATTTGAAAGGGCAAATGGGAAACTTTCTTATGTCAACGACTAGCCAACTTGAGATTATGCAGTTAGATCACAAGGTATACTCACAAATACTATAACATATTTTGTAATACTTTAATATTAGAATGTTTCATAATTTAATATAACAAAAAATTATCCTTAATCGCGCCTTCTGATAGTTATGTCCATTTTGTTAATAAAATATGACCAAAAACCGTTACACGTTTTAACGTTATCATTCATAAAAATATTTGCAAATTTGCCTATTGTTTTGACCAATTGTATACAGCAGTTGTATTCATATTATTCAATTAAGTTTTCATAAAAATATTTGCAAATTTGCCTATTGTTTTGACCAATTGTATACAGCAGTTGTATTCATATTATTCAATTAAGTTAAATAGTTAAATTATATATAAATTCATTGAATTTTTTTTTGCCCTTTTATAACAACGTTAAATTCCAAAAAATTTATATTTTAATATTAATTCAATGAATTTTTTTTTGCCCTTTGTAACAACGTTAAATTCCAAGTGTTTTTATGTACCGATAAAGTAACAAAAATTTTCTATAGAACTAAGAGATTATTTAATAAAAAATTAGGTTCACTTTTCTTATTTACACAAAAAATAAGAAGAAAAAGGAACATTTTATAAAAAATTAACTGGGTAAAAAAAGGGGTTAAAATAATTTAGAATGTATATAAAAAATTTTTTTTACACTGCACTACAATCAATCATCGATAATTTTTGAATCCGTGATAAAAGTGTCAAAGAAAAAAGTTCGCTAGTGTTCATATATGATATGATAGGATATTATGAAAATTACATAATATTTTATTTAATATATTATTTTTTTTTCAAAAGATTCAGGAAACTATAGAGACAATAAATACCCTCAAGATTAACAGAGAGTTCTTCAACCGATTCGCTTCCGAACCCCAAACATTTATTGACGATTGGCTCAGATCTCAATGCGAGGATCTAAAAGTTTGTTATTAAAATTATTTTTCCCCCAAAGAAAAGATTTATATCATTGTTCCAAACAGAATTATGTGGATAAGATTATGATGAAATATGTAAATCTTTAAACTTATTTTTACGACTTTTGGACCTACTCTCTTAGAATTAAAAATTAATTTTATGCAATACTTTGATCTCTCTCCTTTTTATTTGATTCTTGTGATTATACTACCCAAAATTTTTGCGACCAAAATATTTTGTTATTGCAATAAAAAAATAATAATATATTTATTTCTCTGGGATATTTTTTTTATACCTTTTTTTGAATTTATTTAAAATTTCTTTTCTTTGTGTTCAATATAATTTATAATATTATTAATAGATGGAATTTAAAACACCGATGAAGAATTTATATAATCTTTTGAAAATGATATGAAATCAAAGATTATCAGTTTTGCAAAAAAAAAATTGCGAAAATCTTTTAGAAAAGTATATTTATGGCTAATGCTATGTATATTTAATCGTAGCACGAAACCTAATTTTTTATATAATCTATTTGTAGGATTCTAACCTACCTATTTAATTTGATTCCCCCCTCCCTCCTTATGCCATATACAAGCAATTCTTTTACCCGAATTAAAAGAGTTACTAAAAACACACTAATAAAATGCTATAAATAGCATTTTAAATTGGTAATGAATCAATTTTTAAAGGTTCGAAGGATACACATTTTAAGTTTAAATGAATGCTATATAATACACCATTTTTATATGTGATTTTATAAATATATAGACCATAACTGATTCCGTTGGTAACCCAGAGAGCGAAAGATTGGCCTCGTATTACACCCAACCTTGGGTACAAGAAGCCGTCGGCAGATACTTTTTTAACAAAGTTTTTCAAAAAATACACATTTAATTTCAGATATCAATTGGTATCGTTAAAAAAAATATATAATCCTTTGAATAAACATCACCATTAGGTTAGAGGCATTTTTTTCGCTAATTTATAAAAAAATCCTTAGGTCGTTTCCTAGGCAAGCTTAATTTGGATACATTTAGTATAAGCTAAAAAGTATTTGATCGAGTTTATTTTAAGTATTTGATGGCATTATTCTCGTTTCTCTCTTTGTTTTTTTCCGATGATGTTTTCATTTTTTCTTTTGCTTATTTGGCTATTTAGCCGTTACTTCGGCTTTAAGTATTAAGTCAACTTAGGACGCAGTTTTATATTTTTTTTGACGATTATATGATTATTTATCATTTTTTATCGGAATAAAATCGTTGTGAATATTAAATTCATACAATAATTGTTTTTAAAATATATATTTTTTTACAAATAATATTTTGCTAAGGTTCAACAGAGGAGATTCGAATTGGAACAAGCTTTGGGACTAAAGAATTGAAATAGAAATATTTAAGAAATGAGACTATAATAGAAATAACAATTTTAGAAATTAATATCTTTCAGTAAAATTCAAAAATTGTATTAATCTTAATTTCATTTTTTTTAAATATTCCTTTATTTATATTTATTACATCTTCTCATACAAAGGTGTATTAATTTTTTTTTGATTAAAATACACCATTTTAACATAATATGGTTTCATATTTATAATTTTTGAATTATTTCAGAATTTAATGCCTATTTATTATATGATGACATTGATTAAATGTTACGAGTTTTTATTTTGGCATCATACTCAAATTTTAGCCTAAATTATTTTTTAAGAGTGGTTTTATGACAGGATTTTATTTCATGCTATAGTTATTCTTGGAAAAATTCCAATACCTATAACCCGGAGCTAAATTTAAATTTTCGTAATTGCATACCACATAAAAATCTTTTAATTTTAATCTATTTTGAAAATAGATATCTAATAGGTTACCTTCTTTAGTAGCACTTTATATAAGTAGACATATATACTTATTAAACAGTAATTTTTTGGCTAATCATAAAGTTAATGAATCAGATTATCAATGTTTAACTAATGTTGTTAATCGTCTAAGTCGTTCTAGTAAAGTTTTAAGTGGCAAAACTTGACCGAAATTTATTTTGAATTAACCTGCTTATTATTTACTCGACGATGAAAATATTTAAAAAAAAACCACTTTTGTTTGGTCATTTAAATATTTTTATATTTCTAAATTTTAGGATTTACATGTATTATTATTATAAGAATATGACCATATTATTAATATTATATAAACCTCGACATTTCGCTGATATATGTCCAAACTTTTGTGCCATCTATGACCACAATATTAAGGTTTGCTTAATAGTTTTCTGGATAAAATATGGAGTTAAAATTAAATGAATTTAATGGGCTTAATATTTTATTCTCATATGAACACTGAAGATAGGTAGCTCTTTCTGATAATCTTTTGTAATATTTACCATGGACTGTTAAGAAAGATCCCGCTTAGCTTAGATTATGATTATTATATTGAGTATATCTATATACTACACGATCAGGAAAAAAAAATATTTTTGAATATTAAAAAATTGGTCTTAAATCTTCAAATTTACTAAAGTTCACTTTTATACCATTATAACTGTCTTTAATTAGATTATATATTTTTTTAAGATTGCATAAAATGAGTATTTTCTTTACCTTATATTGATATAAAACGAATTTTACCAGGCACTATACTTTGATCGGAATTATGAAATTCCAATAATATCTATAATATAGGCTCGATGAACACTTCCAGCCTTTATAATATTTGGATTGAAAAGCTACTTTTTCTTTGACCAATTTTTTCACTATATTTGCCATGAATTCTGTCTTAAAAAATTCTTCTTGTTTAGGATCCAAGAATTGAATAAAACCTTCAATATCTATATTTTTTCACTTCGATATTCTACTGAATCTATATTTTCGATTGCTTAGTTATTAATTACACATTCATAATTAAAATTATCATCTGGCGAAATTATTAAAATATCTCTTAATTTTTTCTTGGATTTACAATTTTTTTTCAATAAGATATTTTTTTCCAACTCAAGTATTACTTCTTAATTAATAAATCTTTTATTTAAATACATAAAGTATTTTAAAGATTCCGACATAATATATTTCAATCAATGATTTATAATTATTAGGAATTTTAAAAATTGACTAATTAAATTCACAAACCTGTTCTAGGCCCAACTTGAAATTTTGCATATTTTTACATAATCTAATAGCAGTTACATAAAAAAAATATTTGAGAGAAAAAAAGATCAATTTGATTTTATGATTATTTTTGGTTTTCTATTTCCGATTTTTGACATTTATATTTTTTTAAAACAATATTTAATATTATATAATTATAAAGGTCTACCATTAGGCTACATAAAGATATTTAAATAACGATTTTTAGCTTAATTATATCTAAAGATAGTTAAAACTATAAGGAGTGCATTTTGCCTAAAATGAATCATTATTTCGATCTTTAGAGGCCTGTATCTCAGCAGCTGTTGGTAATGCTATAATTTAATTATTTTATTAAATATGTGCAAACTATAGCAATATAAATTTATAAAATAATCTGAGGGGGTCGGGTAGGAGCTCATGCTGATATGTCATGGAATTAACCATATATATAATTTCTTAAAATTTAAAAAAATGGAAATTCATTTTATAATCTTTAATATTATATATTTGATATTAATAAAAGTGATAATTTTCTTATAAATCAATGAAAATAAATTAAATTTTGGCGAACGTAGCTTAAATAAAAATCCCTAAAAATTAAAAAAAAACCTACTCATTGAATAAATAAAGGAATAATATTATTAAAGTTAGAGCAAAAGAGAGTAATAAAAATTAATTTTAAAAAGACTGATATCTATTTATTTACAATAATTAGATATTTGATAAAATAATTAGGTTAAACTTAAATATCTCTAAATATTTTTTTTTTTTTAAACTAATGTAAATAAATAAAAGAAATCTAACATACAATCTTCATAATCTTTAAGTAATTGTTTTCCTATCTTATCAATTTAAATGTATCTATTTACTTTCCTATGACTATATATAACTCAATGTTAAACTTTTAATATATATGCCCGGCCGATCCGGCCCGACCAAATGGAAGTTCGGTTTTAAATTTGACTTAGGATAAGAAATATTTTTTTGCCAACCACCAGATATAAACACTTGCCTCTTGCTTCCAAAGGTAAAGGTTCTCCCATGCACCCTCATGTATGATATAAAATAACAGCATTTATATATGAAACTAATGCAATATCTATTTATTGGTTTACTTTATTTCCAATATTATTGAATTATTATTTTTACCCATTGAATATATCAGCTTGCGATCTGACACAATTTTTTTTAATAGTGTCAATTTTCTTTCAATATTATTGGATCCTTAATTTAAACAATAATTTTTTTTCCTTTATCACATATCTTCCATTTATTTATTATTTTTATGGTTATTAAATCTTTGAGGAGTATTTTATTTATTTTAAGTATTTTTTTTGTGTATTTATTTTAACACAAATAAGAGATTGGTTATTTTTATAATTAAATATCTCAACAAATAAAATATATAAATCGAATGCAGGTTTATAACAAAAGTGTTCAAATCGGTTTTTAGAGGTTCGAACCGGTCCTATATCAATATTTTTTACTAACCGAACCGGAAACTTGAAGACTTATTTTTATCCGAACCTGAACCTAAACCTATTATTTCGGATCCATGCTTTAAGCCAACTACCAAATATATTACAATAAAATAAAAATTTAATAAAGGTTTCAGAATTAGTGTTTACAAAGGCTAGGTTCACTTAACCCTTTAAGCGTGACATTTTGGTTTTCATTTTGTTCATAACTCAGTTTTTTTTTGGTGGATCTCATATTTGAGTTAGGAATATAATAGAACACGCTATATATATAGTTTTTGCATTTTAGCACCATATCTATTTTGTGAATTTTTATTTTTCTTTATACTGTCTAACAAACGGATTAATATACAATTTGATTAGACATTGATAAAATTTACAGGTTCAGTCACTTTCATATCTTAGCTGGCCACTATACTGATTAAAGTAAAAAAATAATAAAGCACGTTTAGAAACTTAAAATTGTTTGGTTGAGCATTTTGAAACCAGAAACCAATTTTTTGGCAACCAATTAAACCGGGGTAGTATGGATTGGATTCGGACTTTTAGGAAATTGATTTTCGATTATGTTCATGTATTAAAAATTTACGTTAAATAGAATTTAAAACTCCTGAACTCGAATTCGGGTCTGAAAACTTAATTTGGCAATCAAGTGGATAATTTTTTCTTAATATTGTACAAAAGTTAAATATAAAATGTTAAGATCTAGACCTACCAATTTAGAGCCATGAGTTGCCCAAAAATATCATGATAAACTATATGAGTAACAGTATCAAATATCTGCTTTTATCTCCTCCCCCTCTTCCAGGTAGTACTTATATACACCATATTAAGGTAGAACTAGGCTTATTTAATACCCATCCATCATCATATCGATATTTGGTGCTTATAAAATTATTTATGACCCACGTAGTAAGCCTTGCCCATTGAGAAGTAGCGCTTGGCTTGCTACCTATTTAATAGATCTAATTAGCTATCGATTGATATCTTTAATAGCCATATATTTATTAATCTAAAAAAAAAACAAATCAAAATATATTGATCTGAACGCCTGGTTTGAGCTCTAGGTTTGTACTCATAGCTGGTTTAGTCGATTTTTAGACCCACACCGGCACTAGGTTTTACACATCCAACCAAATAACAACACTAATATATGTAATCGAGTTTCATATAATTTAAGTTAACCTGGTGAGTTCATGAACCAAGTTCAATTAAGTAGCGGATTCAAATTCAAAACTCGAGTCGCGACTTTAATTAATGACTCGAGTTGTACAAAACGATACTTTGAAATCGCTTTCTTGAATTATGACTTAAATAACCATATTTTTAATCTATATGTATCATTTTTAAATAAAAATTTTTTAAATGAGTCCTTCATTTTGACATCAATAACAAATAAGAGTGTTTTTATTTAAATAAACCTTATCTCTCCGGACTTATCATGAGTCAATGTCAAAAATATTACCACAACCTGAAAACGGAAAAGGGAAGACTCCGGATAATCAAATCATTTAAAAATTGTGCTTATTGTAGAGTTTGTTGAATATCTCATTCGATATTTTTTTGTTAGCGAAAAAAATTACCCAGTTGAATTTACAATATTTTTTGTATATGTTAGCGTCAATGTGTTTTTTCCTGCAATTTAGTTACTTTTTCAACTTTAAATCATTTTTTGACTTAGTTTTTTTATATTTAAATTTTGATTTTACCAGAAATACATTCCATTTTGAGTCATTTATAATTTATATAAAAAATTTATGGAAAATTTAATACAAATTTTATTAAGTCCTAAAGTTTATAGCAAAATTGTTTGAAATTTATAGGGTAGATATTCCAAACATGATGAAATACATATCCGGAAAAATGAGATTTTTAAATTTAAAAAAATGCGCTCAAAAAATTATTTAAAGTCGATAAATACAATGCCGGAAAAAACAGATTGACGCTAACATATATATCCTTAAACTTTAAATTATATTGACAAAGATAAATTGGAACCTAAATACTATTAAGTCCCATTATCATTTAATAGTAGATATGATTATGAAGGGAATGAATGACTAAGGGTTAAGTAGTCATAATAATCATAATACATAATTTTATAAACTTAAGATTTTTAAAACTGTTATTGTTTTTATATATATTCTGATTATTTGTATATTATAAGTTCGTAATGTTAAACGGCTTGATTTGAGCTTAGTTTTAAAACGTCAATATTTTATATAGGAAACATTACAATAGATGGCACCAAAATTTGGATATCTATCAGCGTAATGTTGAGGTTTAAGCAATATTAATAATAGCATGGTCATACTCTTACAATAATATACATAAGTCCTAAAATTTCGAATTTAAAAATATTTAAATTCTCATCAAGGTGGTAAAAATCTTTAAATATTTATATCCTGGAGTAAATAATAATAGCAGGCCGATTCAAATAAATTTCATCCGACTCATCGAGCCAACTCATTGAGTTTTGAAATTCTAGTTCAGAGCTGTAATAACTAGATTTTAACACTATTATTAAAAAGATATTATTATCATCACATTCCACATTTTTTTAAATATTCGATTATATGCATCTAAATCGGTTTCTCAACTTTCAAATCATTGAACGTTCGTTATGTCTATTTTCCATTTTGTTATGTTGAGTACTGTACGGGCGGTCATAACTAATCTAGCACTGCCTTCCAAAAATAAATGTGTAGTTAAGGGGCTGTCTTACATAGAGCAATATTCTTCAATACATTAGACTTTAAAAACTTCAACCAAACACTTATTCTTAACATATTCGCTAATTTCAAAAATATCGTTATCTTTTTGCATAAAGTTACCTTTGATCAATGCGTTCCTCAATATGGTAGTTAGTATTTAATATAAATAATATTACACCTAGAAAACTAACTTAACACATCTGAGATATATGAAGTTCGTTATCTAATACATTTCGGGCAATCCTATAACGTCCTATTGCGAAGTTTTTTTTGTCCTTAAATTTGTATATGCAGTATTCCCAATCCAGTATTTTGTCAATAGGATTTCCAAAATTCAAATAGTATTCACAGGTAGTGATGAATCAAAAATTGCTGTATTTGAGACAATTTTAGTCACTAAATATATTGCATAAGCCTCAAAATTTCGCTAATAAATGTTCAAACTTTTGTGCAGACCTGCGTAATATTTTTAGGGATTAAACACTGAGTTAGCCATTTTTAAAAATCTGCTTAAATATAGTGATTTTACATCACTATTCCCATGGATGTCTGATTATTATTGAATCTCCCACTTACCAATTTATTTACCAATCTTCATTTAATGGCTAATATTTATTAATTTACCAATCTCAATTCAATGTGTATTATTTACTATTCATATATTTGTATAATGTATCCAAAACAGTTATCTAATATATCTAAAACAATCAATATATTATCAATATAATTATATGATCATTTTGTTTCTTCGTTCAGTCTTGATATCCTTATCCTTTCTTCCTAACAACAATTGCATCAGGTGATCTCCCCCAAAATCTTTCCCCTTCACAACCCCAATCCATCACCCCCAAGGAAAAATTGATTATTTATATACGAAAATTATTGACATTTAGTATATTATATAAAATTTATTTCTTCTTTTTTTTAACGGCTACTACAGTTATATTCCATGTATAACGGAGTTTCTATAACACATTGGCCCGATTTCTTAGATGGCTGTGGGATTTGTAATACTATGATACCTGAGTGTCGGTGTCCTCGTTATAATATATTAATAATTTTCTTAGAGAGTGTTTAGATAAACCCTAAATAATTATTATCGGCTAAAGTAAGAAGTTATCTTTGAAACTACCTTATCATTATTTATAAGCAAAATATGATCTAAATGTATTATTTCTCTGCATTTTGTAAAATCACTTTTGACAATCTTTAAAAAATATTGATAGAAGTCAATAAAATTAAGAAATATTCCTCTCTAGTTCATAATTATTTTTTCCGGTTATGAACGGCGCACACTTTGGCAGGGCCTGGTCATTTTCGTTCAAAAAATTTTACTACAGAAGGCCCCTTGAATTTTATCATTTAATAAATAAAACAAAGATTTTATGTCAATCTAATTTATTCCTTAATGATATATATTTGACTCCATTTTTTATTTATATTTTTATATGTTTTTAAAATGTTATCTAAAGTTATATTTTTACTCACCACCAAAATGAAAATATATTTTTATAATAACTTCACGTTTTATTCAATATTTGTTAAGTTATATAAATAATTTATATTTAATATCATACAAACAGATAAATTAAAAAATAATAAAATTTATTATATACATATATATAACTAATAAATTATTAAAAACATAAAACTAACAAAAATATACAATTAAATATTTTAAATTTAAATATCAGTCTGATGTAAATAACGTAGTGTTTGTTTATTATTTTTTATTATTTTTACTACAAATTCCACGTGCTTTTTAAATATTCACATTTTGATTTGTTGATTTGTAAATTTGCGTATTCTCATTTATTTCAAGAAAAATTATTAATTCTCATAATGATATATCATGCTGGTAATAATAAATATATTGACATTTATATATTATAACTTTGGTTTAAGTTTATGAATTTAAATTTTAAATGAATGACATTATAAAATTTGAGTAATTCATTCCTATTTGACATTCTAACTACTAATTTATTTATGTAAGAATTATAAGTTTTTAAAATAAACACCTAATATATAATAATTATTTTCAATCTAAATCATACCCTCCACATAAAATAATAGTTTTATTCTTATCAAAATAATTTAACATATCTTAACCTTAACATTTAAAAAATTTTAAAACGTAAAACATTGATTTTTAATTCATAAATAACTCCACCCTTTTCTAAATTAAAATATAGCCATTTTCTTTTTGAATAAATAAAAAACGTAATTTTATTTTTGAGACAAACAAAAAATGTTATATATTTGGGTACGTTTTTCCTTTTTTTTCATTCATATATATATATATTATATACATATAATAGTTTTATAAAAATAAACAATTTAATTTAATAGATATTTTTAAAATAGTGTGAGCTCAAATATTTAACCCGAAGGTCCTTTATAGACATTAAAATCAAATTATTTTATTACAAATAGAACAAATTAAATTTACTTTATTCAAATCTTTTTTTTTTATTAAAATATTGATTATTTTAAAAAATGCGTTCATAAGTTATAAATTTTTGAGATATTAAAATTTATTTTTGAAATGGTTAAATTTAAACGAACATTTTGACCCTGAAGATATGTGCAATATATAAATATTTAATATTCCTTATTTTTTTAAAAAAAAATATTTTGATATTTCCTGAAAATATGTTATTTCTTTATTTTGAATGAAAGATAAAAAATATTTTTAATGTACGCATTTTAAAATCGTTTAGATAAATTACGCTTGTTTGCTTATAAGCTTATATTATTTTGTTGGTATTGTATATTTGCTGAATTGATATAATTTTATGAATTAAAGATTATTTTAAAATATTAAACGAAAAAAAAAATTATGTAAATAAAAAATGAGTTTATTTTCTATTACTTTTTAAATAATCTAACCTTTCATCACAAATACACTTATCTTCGTCATTCACATAAAATATTTACGCGAACCCTAATTGGAGATTTTTGAAGTATAATATAATTAAAAAGTAACAACATTATTTTATGACCATTGTTATTAGTTTGTTTTGGTTCATCCTTATATATAGCAGAGACTTGCAGAGGTGTTTTTTTTTAAAAAATATCTTCGGTCCGGCCCGGTTTGTGTACCCCGGCTTATGGCCGGGTCTGCATCTCTGATATATAGTTTATCATTTAATGGATATTTTCCTTAAACAAAACCCTCTAAAAATTTTTTTAAATTTAAGAGGAACTAATATGCGGGTTTTTTTGCAAAAATAAATTATGTAAATTTAATATTTTTTTTAGTTCTTTCATTTTATCCATTAATTAATAGTTACATTATTTATTCACAAAATAAAACAATAAATAATTAATTCAAAGTTTTCTGCTTTTATTTATAGCTGTACTATATATATTTAAAAAAAAAATATTGTTTAACATTGTAATTTCTCATTAACATATCACGCCATATTGCGCTTCTTCCTTTATTCACTCGCGAAAGTTCACGATGTTAAAACATAGAATAATTTATAGTTCGAACCAATCGTGTGTATATGTATTACTAGATTGGCGATTCGTTAATTAAAAATGCGCACACGCAGGTGTCCGCTGATCATTTTGTGGTTTTCGCTTCGGCTAATTATCTTATTATATGAATGCACATTAATGTCATTTAACCGACGCGCAAACCACAAAACAACAGATGACTCCTATGTATAGATACTTTTAAATACATTAAATGAATGAATCTAATCTAGTAATATATATCAGAGACCTGCAGAGGTACCATTTACACGGCCGGCCAGGAATTTTTTAAAATTTTTTAGGTCCAGTCCTTGTACCCGGTTTATTTTATTCATCATTGATTTAAACGAAGATTAGTTATATTTTTTATTTTTCAAGATAAAACTAATGAATAAATAGCCTCCTTTTTTTGTAATGCCACAACTTAAAATTTAATAATTAATAATTAAAAAAAATAACTTATTTTGAAACAAAAAGGCCTGCCCTACTTTGTAATAATATGGTATTTTTAAAAATTTTTCATAATGTTTGTTTGTATTCAATTTTGTCAGTCAGAAAAAATAATCTTAATTATTATAATATAATATCTATTCGCGTATTGCGATGTTCATTCCTGAATATTAATTATATATATAGAAAAGTCTGTTTTTTTCTAAAAATACTTTATTTATATTTATAGCAGCGACGGACACCAAATAACTAAATCGTAATTTTTCTCACGAGAATTTAAATTAAAGGGAGTTATTTTTATAACATTTAAATCCGACATTAAGTATTACTTAAAGAGCTCGATTTTATGCCTGAAGATTTGGCCACAGTTGGTGCAAAGGTTTTTGACATTTATTAACAAAATCTCGAGGCTTGGAAGATATTTTCTGGCCAAAATATTGAGTTCGCCATAGGCTTAAATTAATCCTAACAACACTACCTGACATAGACTGTTGATAGTATTATTTGTCAATAAAATAAAATAAAAAATTGACAATAAGAAGTTGAATTACAAATTAGACTTGTTTCGGCATAATATAAAAAATAATTTGAGCGAATTGTCAAGTTGAAATAATCGGCTTTGTTATTATTACATTTCATATTTATAAAAAAACCAATAAATCATCTTATTTTTATGAAGATATTTAATAATACCCTACTTACCTCAGGGATATAAATGTCATTCCTTCTTTTCTTTTTCTGCGAATTTATTTTTTACTTTTTTTTAAAGTTTATTTTTTGTTCGCATTCTTCGAATTTTATTTTTAAATATTTTTAAATTTTAGGTCATGAATTTTTTTTTTGAGATTAAAGCATTTGTTTCAATTTTTTAAAAAATATAATTTGGGAACGTTCTAATAAAACTAATCAACGTAATGACATAATCTATCTAGACTGATGACTCATTTATTAAAGTGCCTTAAAAAGTGTTCATTCATTTAAGTCCACTACGGTATAAAATCATTTTTTACAGATAATGATGGTATATTCATATAAATATTTTTTTTTAAATTTTCTTTTTTTAAAAAATCTAATTATCGATTCTTGCTATCTCGCTTACCCTTTTTTTTTTCTTTTTTCCTTCCTTTCGCAAAACACACATGACACAATAACAAACATATTTATTTATTTTTAAATGATTTGTGACCTAATTGTATTTTTTAAAAAATATTATGTAATTTGCGCTATATCGAAAAAAATGATAATTTTAGGACGGCCAATCAGGAAATAGCCTGCCCGTTATTTTTTAAAAACAGCCACATTAAGATGAAATTTTAGACCACCTTTCCCCCAAAAAAGCCTTAAGATTTCTTGAAAAGAGCATGGTCTAACCCTAACCATATAATTAGTGATATTTAACAAAAAGGAAGAATAGGCGTTACCTCCAAATTCACAAAATGATGATAGTCACTTAATTGTTGTAGAGACAAAGGTACACTTTAAAAAAAGTGTAAAACAAAAGTAAAGCATTAGCAAAAAAATAAACAAAACAGCTAAAATTAAACATTTACATACATCATTTACATACATATGTATGTTATCGTCAATATGTTATTTTTTTAACTATGAATCATTTTTGAGCGCGCTTTCTTAAATTTAAAAATCTGGTTTTACCGGAAATGTTTTCCAGCATGCTTAGAATACCTATCTTATTGAAATGTAGACAATTTTTCTGTTGACCTTTGAGTCATTTATAATATATTTTTTAAAAAAATTTATGGAAAAACTAATATAAATTATATTAAGTTCAAAAGATCATAGCAAATATTTGTCTAAAATTCATAATTCCAAACATAATGGAATACATATCCAGTAAAATAAGATTTTTAATTAAAAAAATGATCTAAAGTTTAAAAAATAACACATAGTAGCATAGCAAACATATTTAAATTTACTTGCTATTTTATTAGATTCGGAACCAGTTCCTATTAACCTTCAATACTCAGATGAAAAAAAATGACGTTAGCACTCTGGTGGGGTTTAATAGACCCCAATTCCAAATGTATATCACCAGAGTTATATTCATTATATTCTGATTTAATATTTGGATAATAGATCTGACCTTAAACTTGACAAAATATTTATTTATTTGCATTTCTTAAGCTAATAAAATTGATGAGGATAATTTGTACCAAAATTTTCTAATATTAATTTTAAAAAAAAATTTGATGGATCTTTATTCTTGAATATAATATAAAATAAAATTTACAGTAATACATTCAAACATTTAAAAAAAATATAGAACATTGAAATATGTTAAATGTGACATGCGAGACATTTATTACATAAAACATTAATGTGCTTAAACATAATTTTATTTTACATATTTGACTAAAATGTTTTGTTTTTTTTAATCCTTTTTTTCTAGGACACACACTACATCTTCCTCTTAAAGGCTTAATATTCTCATTTTGTTTTTTGCCTAATATATTGTATATAGATTCCTTCAGAAGTCGTGGCAATCTGAGACATATTTTCTTACTTCCAAATGTGGGCTTAGTTCCATAGCTAATTTTTTATTACTTCTAGTAAAGGTTTTTTTTACTATGCTGTATATATAAAATGAGAATGTGTTATGTTAAGATGTTTAAATTGTTAAGGGCCATTGATATGACCTTCTTGAAATTTTATAAAATTCTGTCATTTGGTCTACCACATCTGCCTCATCTTTAGTCATATTATAAAATGTTATGATTTCAGGTTTGTATAGGTTATTATTATAAACATTTATATTATGATGAAATTTTGATAGCATTATGACATTTTTCCTTTTTTTTGAAAATAATAATAATGTTATGTCTTCTTGAAATCTAACTATGCTATCACAGATTTCCTTTCCTTTGTTAATATGAAATCATTGGAAATTTTTGGTTTATTCTTCCTTAA